GAAATTCTCTGACTTGCTGGTATTAAACGCCATTGTATCTGTTCCTCAGAACCCTAAAATAAAGAAGTCCTAGTAGGAGCCAATCCTGGGTACTGGTACTTTTCTAATAACTTGATGGGGACTTATCAGAAAGCTTAGCTGGTGCTGTGATCTAGCAAGGAAAGTATTTTCCAGCTGAACACGTGTTCATGGGCATTGGCTCATTTGTGAGCAGGCACAACAAAGCGTTCTTGCTAGTACCATATCAAAGTGACTTCATTTCTATTCCTGCTTTACTGAAGGACAGCCTGTACCTAGCTCCCATTTCAAATATTCCAGCGGGAATAATCCCCTCTAACAGCGGTTATAGGTTTGCCAAAAGACTTTCAGCCAAAGAAAATGACTGCACTAGTCACCTGTGCAATGTGACGGAAAGCTGTTCCAAACTATTAGTAGCATTTGTTCCTAGCCAAAGCAGAACTCTGGGATGAAAATTAATAAGTGTTTTCACTCATGATGTCCATCTCTTTATATTTTATAATAAAGACTCCTAAAGTGCTTGCAACAATTGGCTTTTGAAAGGCAAACTGCTCTTTATTCAACATGTTTTCAGTTCAACCTCTTGATAAATTCTGCATTGCTAACTTATTTTGATGATTTTTTTTTCTCTTTTCCAAGCAGCAGAATTCAGAAAACACAAGACTACAGGTTCCTACGCCACAAATCAGGTATTCTTTGAATCTATACCCAGCTACTTTTGTTACAACATCCCCTCTCAATGTTTCTATGAGATGCGAGTTCTGATCCACATTGTGTGTGTGCGCAAGAGCACTATTAAATTAGCTACATTCACTTCCTTTCATAGGCATCAGCATAAAAGTTTAGTTAAACTTCAGTTTGTAGAATAATCAAGGTGACCGTTATTGGAGTAACTTCAAAGGTAGGTTGGTAACTCACATACGTCAAGCCAAATAATAGGCTAGGGATTCTAGAAAGTACATCATACACCTCTGTGTAGTGATGTAGTGCATAACTGTCAGGTATGGGATATGATGCAAGAATCTTTGGGCATGCTGCAAATGCTTTGAGACCTGAGGCCAAAGATAGCGGCTTTTTTATGTGAAGCATGTCTATTGGCTCTTCTATTCAACACAGTCTAAGCTAGTCAGATAGCTGGTTGGCGACCAGAATTCACTAAATATAAATTGGGGGATGGGAGGGGGGAAGAGAACCCTATTGTTTAGTATTTGGAGGGATAACAACATTCTTGGATCTATTAATATAGCCAGAGTCCCTTTTAAAGTGTGTTTTTGTTTTTTTAATAAAGGTAACATGTCCGTGATCATATGTATACCTTGTTGTAAGTAACTGTAAGTGTGCACATTATAGGAGCAGACCATCCTCAAGAGGAGAGTGGAAGGAGCATGGCTCAATCCAGGAGAAGTTTTTTCAACCACGGTTTGTCCAAGTGCCTGAAGACAAAATGACTGTTGAAGAGGGACGATTTTGCAGGATTGACTTCAAAGTAAGACAGATGTTCATACAATCTTTCAGTACAATTAAAACTAATTTGTCTGTTGGTAATTACTATATGCAGTACATATAAGTGTCACTGCAGCTCAGAGACCTCTGTCCTTATGAACTGGAGTGCTACCTGTCCAATATTACTGGCTCTTCAAGTACAGTATCCTTTCCAAACAACTTTACAAATTTTAGTAATGAGAGAAGTTTTGCAAACTTCTCATTAGTCCTGGAAAACCTGAAATTTGACTGACTGTAGCCATATCTTCCTGCTCACACTAGGATTTATGAGATAGTGGCTAACGCTGAGTATGCTCTGTAAATATATGAACGGCCATCCTGCAAGAGGACTTTTTAAATGCTACTGCCACAAATTAGGGCCCTAATTCAGGAAGGCACGTAAGCAGGTGCTTAAATGCTTTGCTGGATAGGGGCCCTAATTGACTTCAATGGTACGTAACCAGGTGCTTAATTGTGCCAAATGCAAATAGACTCCTGAACTGGGGCCTACACCTGCCTGCCACTTAAGAGCACTTAAAAAGTCCCCTTTGAAGCTAGAAATGTCACCTTGACTGAGCATAGAAGGCAGCTGCTCACAGAAAAGGTTATTTTTGAAAAAAAAAAAAAAATAGTTGAAACATTTTATTAAATACATTTAAAGTGAAATGTGCATAACAATTATACTTCCACAAAGTTCTTCTAATAACTCCTCTATTACTTTATGGTAAGAAAAGTTAGCTCTTGTGTTGTCGGCAATTTTTAATGTAAATGCTTTTTGTGCTGATCCGAACTTCTTTTTTTCTGATTCTGTAAATGTAAAACTGGAAGAGGCATCAAGTAGAAGAATGTGAAGTAACTTTCTCTGAGTTTGACATGACCTGTGACCCCTCAGTATGAAAGGCGGTTCTTAATCTCTAACTATCTTGAAGATTAAGTAGTTGCAGTTGAGTAGATTCCATTACTATAGCATAGCATTGTATTTAATTATGATAAAACTGGTTCAAAATGTGGCCTTATGAGGGCCCTCTCAGAGACTTCTGAGATAAAATGGTAGGCTTGCCCCTGTGAATGAACACCCACAACGAACCCCACTGTTTGAAATGGGACTTCACAGGTCATTAGGAACAACACAGGTTTCTGTGAGCAGACTCCATTGCCTCATAACTAAAGTTCATGTCTCCAAATCCACTAGACTACTCTATAAACTTCATAATTTACAAAGAAAACCAGTCCTGGCTGGAACTTCCAAGGGTAGAATCCTGACTTGGTCCTCTAAGCTAATGAAACTTTCTGTAGTGGAGGGGCACAGATGGTTTTAGATTTAAACATTAATAACTACAGTACCATAAAGGTTTAAGACTGTTTGTTCATGGTTGTGTGTTTTTTGTATTTTTCTTGCTTCACAGGTCAGTGGGCTACCAGCTCCAGATCTGGTATGGTATTTAAATGGAAGGTTGGTCCACCCAGATGACTTTCATAAAATGATAGTGTCTGAAAAGGGCTTTTACTCACTCATTTTTGAAGTGGTCAGAGGCTCTGATGCAGGAACATATGAATGTGTAGCCTCCAATCGTGCTGGAGAAGCCTCCTTTACAGTACAACTGGATGTAACTGGTAAGATATATAGCGGTGATGGCTACCTGGAAATCTTTATTCTCCAGCTGTGTGTGCCCAAAAGTTTAAAGGTCTTTCAGACACAGAAAGAAAGGCATTAGAAATGTATCAGGATGTCTGCTTTTAGTTTTGAACTCTTCTACTTCATGATCTCCAGGTTTAAGAACTACAGTGGAAAAATTATTTATACCAAATGTGGGGCTTGGGAAAAATGAATCAACTTGGGATGGGATTTTTCCAAAATTCTCAGCATTGATTCCAGTGGGAGCAGAGCTAGGCCAATGTTAAAACTCCCATTGACTTCAATGAGAGCAGAGAGTTAAGTCAGTGCTGAGAACTCTTGAAAATTCCTCCTTGGCTGTTTATTTAGTCAGTTTCATATATGGGAACTGTAAAATTAATATATATATTTACAAAATACAGAGATATGATCATCCATACCACACTCATTTTCCAAAGTTATTTATAAACTAATAACATTTGAACATGTTGAAGAAAGAGATTAATTTTTCAGAAGATATCTTTACCTCTAGGAAAAATGTGCATTCCAGTCAAGACAAGTGGTGAAATTCTAGCCCTGCTGAAGCAACAGCAAAGTTCTCTTTGGGTGAAATCCTAGCCCCATTGAAATCAAAGATGATTTGGGCTCACTTTTAAGCCCCAATCATGAAAAATCTTATTCACAGGAGTAGTCTTCACTCATGCAAAAAGTCTCACTGAGCATTGATCTGTGGCCTTATTTAGGTCAGCATGGATTACTGCTTTCTTCATTTGTGTAGTTGAGAGTGCTTTTAAAGCAATTTTGTCTTTGATTCCACCTACGTTGTGTCTTCCAAATCACACCTTAATATTTTTCCATTCAACTTATACTCAACAAAAATTGAACACCGTTTGGTTCCATTGCATGACCCTCTTCCTTGCACATAAGTAGAAAAAGAAGAGTTGAAACCCACCTAACTTACTACATTCCCTTGCTGGGCAAAAGTTTTCTTATTTAACACCCTGTGGCCCATTCTTCAAACACGCGGTCCTATATCCTCCTCCAACATCACAAACTGTTGGATGAGTAGTATATAGCCACAGTTTCAACAAACTAGAAAGCAACAACTTTGTTCGGAACTTAAGAACTTTCCTTACGAAATTCTTTCCCAGAGCAGATGTTGCTGGCATCATTTGAGCTATAGCACGCACAGGGCCTTCATTTGCTTTCAGGGCCATATTCACAGCTGGTACAATTCCCTTGCCTTTTTGCCTCCCAGTTAAATCAGCTGTGCATTTTGCTTTCAATCTGCACTACCTGGTGCCTACTGCTTGGGTGCTTATGTTAGGGGAAGGAGACTTTGGGAGGTGGAGATAAACTCAAACACTTGCAGGGATATATTGTCAAAGCCATGTGTAAGGGGCATGTGAGCAGATGCTGGGTGGTGTTTTCAAAAGTGCCTTTTTATATCAAACAAACCAACAAAAACTTATCCTCCAGCAAATGAAGGCCTCTTTACTCCTGAATGAGAACATCCACACAAGGGTTTAATGCCCTTTTAACTTATGCATACTGACTTCACAGCTTCAGTTAATTCATACTAACTTTAATGAATGTCTGCATGCAGACAAGTTGTAAGACAGCTGGACTGTGATCCTGAGAAATGATGCACCTACTACCATCCTTATGCCCCTGGGGTCCCAGAAAAGGCCTTCAAGGAGATTCCATTCAGGAGCATGTGTACCCATGGATGGATTCCTTAGCTTCTGATTTTTATTTATTTTTTTTAAACACGCAATCTACGACAACCTTCTCTCTTATAACTTAGCAAAGGAACAGCAGAAAGCTCCAAGTTTTATCTTCAAACCACAAAGCAAAAAAGTTTATGAAGGGGATTCAGCCAGACTGGAATGTCAGATTTCTGCTATCCCTACACCACGGATTTACTGGAAAAGAAACAATGAAATGCTACAATATAATACGGACCGAATAAGGTATGTGACTAATAAACTGGCCAATGGTGTATCAGAAAAAATAGCCAGTATATGAAACACAAATAATCCAGTCTCTAAAGATGCAGCATATGCACTTACCAGCTGGATGTGTCCGTAACTAGTGAACAACAAACATGGTGAATGGGTTGGCTGGGAGTCACTCCCACTATGGTGAAGATATTTCACTTGAGTGCAGGGAAAGAGAGCTCCCTCTGACCTCTTACTTTATAAATACATATACCCAAAATGCACAACTTGCTCACTTGCAAGCATAGATTTAAGACCAAAATATTTTAATGGGTGTTTGGCTGTTGTCATCTGTTTGTACAGCACCCAGAAAAGAGCCCTGATCCTGACGTGGGGCCTGTAGGTGCTAATAATTAACTAATCAAAGAATAGCAATAATACTTGTTGAGAGTATAATCCAGTGCACGTTTTTGGGGGGGGGGTCGGGGGGACGCGCATCACTTTTGATCTCTAGTCTCCTGCAAAAATTGTTTATTGCTCTTTAGGGTCTTCCACTAGAAAAGTCATCCCTTAAGTCAACTTATTTCTTTTCCCCTCGTGCACTTAAAACAAGAAAAAAATTAATTTTTCAGTTTGTTCTATGATAATCCTGGAAAGATTTGCCTCCTAATCCACAACGTAAATAAGAAAGATGCCGGTTGGTACACAGTATCTGCAGTCAACGAGGCAGGAGTGGCCACATGCCACTGCAGACTGGATGTTGCAAGTAAGTGTATAAATGTCAAACTAGAACTTGTATTATGAGCTAATGTGATGGGTAGGAATGGGACTTCCCCCTCATTCAGAACAGATCTGAGCAAAGATCCAATCAAGTTGTAAGTACTAGATGGACACGTGTTCCCAAAGATACTATCAGACCTGCAATACCCCATAAATAACTACTCAAAGCAGCCAAAGAAACGTCCCCATTAACAGAGCACCCAAATACACTGGGGATGGGTACTTCACAAATTGCAATATTCTGTCACCACCACTCTCTGTGCATTTTTGTTTTTAAATTATCCCTAATTCCCTTGGTATCAAGGGGGAGGCGGGTGGGAGGCGACTATGATCCCCTCCAACTTCCCCATTAGTCTTCAATGTCTGAGAGCTAGGGCCTGCAGGTGAGCTCTCCCTCAAGGGCCTATTCAGTTGTGCAAAGGACAACAACAGTTAACAATTGAAACTTGGAAATGGCAGAGATGCTTAATGACTTCTTTGTTTCGGTCTTCACCGAGAAGTCTGAAGGAATGCCTAACCTAGTGAATGCTAATGGGAAGGGGGTAGGTTTAGCAGATAAAATAAAAAAGTACAAGTTAAAAATCACTTAGAAAAGTTAGATGCCTGCAAGTCACCAGGGCCCGATGAAATGCATCCTAGAATACTCAAGGAGCTAATAGAGAAGATATCTGAGCCTCTAGCTATTATCTATGGAAAATCATGGGAGACGGGAGAGATTCCAGAAGACTGGAAAAGGGCAAATATAGTGCCCATCTATAAAAAGGGAAATAAAAACAACCCAGGAAACTACAGACCAGTTAGTTTAACTTCTGTGCCAGGGAAGATAATGGAGCAAGTAATTAAGGAAATCATCTGCAAACACTTGGAAGGTGATAGGGAATAGCCAGCATGGATTTGTAAAGAACAAATCGTGTCAAACCAATCTGATAGCTTTCTTTGATAGGATAACAAGCCTTGTGGATAAGGGAGAAGCTGTGGATGTGGTATACCTAGACTTTAGTAAGGCATTTGATATGGTCTCACATAATATTCTTATCGATAAACTAGGCAAATACAATTTAGATGGGTCTACTATAAGGTGGGTGCATAACTGGCTGGACAACCGTACTCAGAGTTGTTGTTAATGGTTCCCAATTCTGCTGGAAAGGCATAACAAGTGGGGTTCCGCAGGGGTCTGTTTTGGGACCAGCTCTGTTCAATATCTTCTTCAACGACTTAGATATTGGCATAGAAAGTACGCTTATTAAGTTTGCAGATGATACCAAACTGGGAGGGATTGCAACTGCTTTGGAGGACAGGGTCATAATTCAAAATGATCTGGACAAATTGG